AATTCAGTGGATTGTTATAAAGGTGCTATCTATCTATATCTAGCATAAATAGTCGTTTGTTATATATAACATCTTTGAACTCAATTCTGATTTTTTGGGGATTTTGTAGAGAATCTAAAGTTAAAATTTTCAAGAACATGGAAGCTTGCCCTGAACATCTACTAAAGCCGAAATGTTCGGTTTGTTCTTTCAAAATCGAATACTGTGAAAATAAATACAGTATAAAGGAAGTAGTCACGAAAAAATTAAGAAAGCATAAGCTAAAGATATTGAATTTAATTGTCTATTTGTATCTTACAAAAAATAATATACTGAAGGGTTTCGAATAATATTGGAAAGGTTTCAACGTAAGTATCCTTCCTGATATCTAGGCGGATGAGCGGCTAATTGACGTACTTAGCAATTTTGAGTCCAAGTAGTTATATTCTTGCTAATTTTTGTACAGATCCTTGAAATTCAGTTTGATTAAAGGTGAAATAAAGGAGTGGAATGAGCCTATTAAATGCTAAGCATTCTAATCAACAGACTTCCTCTTGCGGAGGAGAAAGAATCACAAAAATGATCGTTACATCTCTCAAGAACCTTCTTTCAAACACAGTTTTTTATCTTTGCGGAAAAGAAAAACTGACTTCAGCACGGAAGATAATGGAAGGTTGATATTGTCGGTAATGAAGGATTTATTACTAAATAAGTATTGATAAGCACTACTAAATTTGTAAGTTTGTTGAGTTTTCATAAGATTTTAGTTTATAGTTTAGGAAAATTTCTCCACAAATCTAGCGTTTGGGGCTCCAATACTGTATAAAATTGCTGTAAACATAACTAAGTATAATAGGTAAGTCTTTATAAGACGCAAAGCCTATGAAATGAAAAGGTGCAGATCCGTTAATGATCCAGCCGCTCTCTGGATGCGGTGATAGGGACAACCCACGTTTTTTAAACTTTATTATTTAGTTACGGTAAAAGAAGTGAGGCGGAAATGATTGTTTGACTCGAAGGTGTTATGTCATTAAACAAACCATTTATTTAGAGTATTATGAAGTGCAAAGGCACATAAAGGAACGTGCGAGCGTATGTGCAAAGATATATGCAATATTTTTATTTGTTAATATCGACAGATTCCGATTTGTAACTCAGCAAAAAAATTGCTTTGGCAGAGCCCCTGTTATATGCAAATAATTCTCTTCATATGGTGCTGGAACCTGGAACCCCTCGCATTGATGAAAATTTCCATTTTTTCATTTAGTTTTTTCATTAATACATTACTTAGTCGGTCAACTAATTAAATTTGTTCTTTTATTTAGTTATTCACTTTTTATCATCAATCCTTATTCATTCAACTACCCACTCATCTTCTTTCTTTCTTTCCCATATCTCATCATTCTCCCTAGTGACTGATTCTTCCATTTCCGTTTGAAATTGGCGCTCTGGTTGCCGTAGCAACCAGTTTAGAATTACATACTCTGCTGCCTCTGTGCTATAGTTCAATATGGAAAACACAACAAAACTACATGAATTTACCGAAATTTCTTTGGAAACCCTGGTTCCACTTATCGTTCTATTGGCTATTATTGTGTACTGTTTGATTATCGCTGCTGTTTTCGTGTTCCTCTGCACAAAGCATGTAAGCTTTTTTCAAAATCCTCCACCTTCATTCCATAATTAAATAATCCTAATTTAGCCGCAACATCTGAAACAATCTCCTTCACAAGGTTCTTTGCAAGAATTTGCATCCTTCATGGACTGTTCCATGATACTGCAATGTTTACCATGTACGGCTTGTAGTCCGCGTAGAGCTCTACGGTCATGTTGCCCAAAAACGGTATGTTTTTTCCTAAGATCTACTTGCCCACTTACAAAGAAAAGACAATCAACTTTTAAACTTTCTCACTTTTATCCTGAAAAAAAATATTCTAAAATATACAAAAAAATATTATGTTATCAATTTGAAAGTGTACTCTGTTTTCTGTTTTTATAGGAATGGCTTCGACATCTCGCGACCTGTGAATGTTTGCGTCCACAACTTCGAGGAGAACGAGCCCCTGGTGTCGATCTTGTATGCTGCGTTGTATGCGAGAGGTAGCGCGACGAGTTTCCCCGAGGTCTTTCCTATTATGGCATTTTTCAATGTGTGGAGTTTTGCTCATTTTTCATTATTTTTGTATAAATTTAACTTTTTAAAATTATTTTATCACTTTATGGCCAAGCTACTATTTTGGGTAGCAACGGTGGTGACAAAAATCTCGGCGGGGAACGGGAGAAAATCGTAAAGGGGCGTGACATGAGCGGGAGCACGCCACACCTTTTTTTGATCCATTGGGCAAAATTCTTTTCTATAATCGCGACCGCTTCTTGAACATTTAAATCTCTTTCAGTTTCAATGAGTAAAGTAGGTCATTCTCTTTGATTATAGTTGAAGTTGTAGTAAGACACCCGCTAAAGTGCATTTAGTCTTGATCGAGAAGAATTCAATGAAATAACTGAGAAATGGGATACCAGTTAAAAATAAATGAATCAAATGTCTTC